GTGACTTCAACATTGAGCGTTTAGGTTGGCGGCTTTCAAGGGCACATTTTGGCTGGCTGCCACGTGTCTCCAATAGGCTAAAATGAATGTCAGGGACAGCACATTTTATGATGGATTTTTAACTTAACATTTAATACAGGAAATGACATGCTTTCAAATGGAGCACTTTGGGATATTTTTTAATTACTTTAAGTTAAAACAGCTTAAGTTAAAATTCTACATAATCAGTGTGCTCTAGTTTTGTCTATAATTAACGTCAATGTCCCCTGCTACAGTTGCTTACAATAAAGGTGTATATTAAATACTCTGAATTTCAAAGTCACATTTAAATATTCCCATTATAGGTTTAACCTCTGTCCAACATCTCCCAAACAGTTGAATTTTGTGTTCACATGATAGGAGTACAGTTGGCAGAAACCAATAATGAGCCACTCTTTGAAGGACCAATGAAGCCATTACTGATATGTGACTAAAAAGGCCTGGTTAAACTTCCTGAAATTAAATGAGATTGTGAACCAATTTCTGTGACATTTATTCTGCAGATAGCTCAGGTATCAAAATATTACAGATTCTTGCCTAATTTGCAATTCCAACCAAGAGACAGATATGCCTCGGAATTTCTAATAAGAAACTATCTGCTCACTACTCTGCCACTGCTCAGGTTAATCAGCTCTCATTAGTAGTGGTGCTCCTGATTTACCTAGGCCAAGTCACACATAAGTTTTATTAAATTCAGGACTCAACAATAAGAACGACACAATGTCCTGAGCCAGTGTGAAATATTGGTTTGTAAATTCTGCTGACTTCTGTTAAAACTGAATAATTTAGCTGACTGACACAGTCTAGAATTTGTCATAACTGCAAGAACATGTAGACTACCAGTCAAACGTTTGGAATAATTAAGATTTTTTAAATATTTTTGAAAGAAGTCTTCTGGTCACCAAAGCTGCAATTATTTGATCATAAAAACAAAGTAATAACAATAATACTGTAATATATTATTATTACAATTGAATTGTATTTAAAATAATTTTCAGCATCAGTCATTTCAGCATTATCTTCAGTGTCACATGACCCTTCAGAAATCATTCAATATGCTGATTTGCTGCTCAAGAAACATTTATTATTATTATTAATGTTGAAAACAGTTGTGCTGCTTTATATTTTTGTGGAAACCATGCTTCACTGCCATTCAAAAGTCTGGGGTAAGAAGAAAAAATAAATTAATTAACACTTTTATTCAGCAAGGATACATCAAGTTGATCAATACTGTTAAGGCATTTATAATGTTAGAAGAGATTGATATTTAAAAGGCTGTTTCTTTAACTTTCTATTGAAAGAATCCTATAAAAAAATGTATCACTGTAAAAATTGTTTTCAGTGTTGATAACATCAACTACTATTAAAAACTGAGTATTGATTTATTATGGACAATAATTGAACAGCAAATCAGCATATTAGAGTGATTTCTGATAGATCATGTGACACTGAAAACTGGAGTAATGATTCTGAAAATTTACTTCGCATCATAAAAAAATTTATTACATTTTAAAACATTAAAATATAAAACAGCTAGTAATACTTCACAATATCACTTATTTTAAAAAATATATATTATATTATATATATATATATATATATATATATATATATATATATATCTCTCTTATAACTATCT